CCTCAACATAGTTTTCTTTTGTTTTTCCGTAACTTCTTTCACTCCAACCGATAGGAATGAGCTCTACCGAAAACTAGATATATTATTGAAAACTCTGCGTGAAGAGCAAATCACCTGATTATCCATGGTGTGCTAATACATTGCGAACTTTTCCCTCAATTAGGGATATTCGCGCCGAAACGAAAAATAGTAAGGAAATTACCACAATAGGGGCGTCGCGTAGTTCATGGTGTTTGTTTGCGTGCGCCGTGGTGACGACCGCAAAAGCGCAAATTTCGTTTTTAGGGTTAACGGGCCGGCGTACACTGGTCCCAAATCAAGAAATTATGGAATTAGGGTCAAACTTCAACGAATCGATCTGATTTTTTTTTCTGTGGACAGATTGCGCAATTATAAATAACTTTTATTATTAGCAATTTTGTAAAATATGGCCTACTTTCTAAGAAAAAAATTATTATTTTTTTTTTATTTGGAGAAAACCCGTTTTTAGAATTTTAAAGCGCAATTACCACGCATCCGAAATGCGGCTTATGGCACATTGTAGAGGGTATTACTGTCCACAATTTCTCTGTAGACACCTATTATATAAGTCTGCGACCCCAAAAAATACAGACAATAACAAAAATTTAACCGCAATATTAAAATTAGGCATTGTAGGATTAATTACAGTAAATAACACAATAAACTATAAATTTAGACTATCTTTGGATCTGAAACCAGTGGAGATTCGTTTTACTTTGTATACGGATATTTTAAAATTTTTTTAACCGCTTAAGTTTCTCCCGTCAGACACATATGTATGCATTTTAAAATACAGGTAGTTTATATGTAAGTCGGTATATCATAAAATACACTAAGTATAATATATGTAATCTATGGCCTTCAAATACTTACACAGAATAAAAGAAAATTTCCGATCGAGCCTTGGTTTCACAATTTCCTTGAAAAGGCGAGCAAATGCTTTTGTGTGCAAATACCCTTTTTGCCTGAAGTTCTAGGAGTATGTTTAGATCTTGTAAAAGCTCTCTACCTACCCTTTGTTTATTTACCATTAA